GTCGACGGTGTCCCGCTGGAAGCGGTGGCCCGCTGCGATGGAGAGAGGGTGGCGGGGGCCCGCTGCGACGAAGAAAGGGCGGCGGCGTCCCGCTGCTAGCGGCGACCCGCTGCGATGGACAGGGCGGCGGCCCTAGGGGAGGAAGAGAGGGTGGGATGCGCTCTTGCCGGGGAGGAGCGGCCGCCGTCGCCGACGATGAAGGAAGCGCCGCCGTCGGCCCGTGCGCTAACCCTAGCGCGGCCTATGGTTGTGGACAGAGGAGAGCGATGGTTCTGGACCAGAGAGAGAGGAGAGCGATGAAAAATATCGAACCGGTACGTTGTAAAGAGTGGCGGGTGGGTAATTTGGTGCAAAACCAATCATTTGCAGTCGGTGAAAGCTGGATAGGAGGTGCTGCGGGAATACAACGTCGCGCGAAGCTACTTTTTGTTGAAGTACCGCGCTATCTCCACGCGCTTTGGTTAGCTTTTACTTTTTGCGTCAGCCACAACACTTTAGAAGTCAAACCAAACAGACCCTGAATCACCCAAACCCAACTCAGGCTTGCAAGGCTAATAAGCATGAATCTACCCAAACCAACCCTACACCAGCATATTGGGAATTTGGGGTTGACCTCTTGACCATTTCATATTAAGCCTATTTGAAGACTATTTATTAATGATCTCTAAGTCAATAATAACTAACATAAAGCGTGTGGAGCAATGCTCTAAAAATCAAACTGTAAAAAATACATTATATGCATGTAGGCAAACTGGATGGCTCTGGTTAACATTTATACATAGGAACTGTAATTCACTGATACAATTGGGATTTGAAAATGTTTCCGCAAGCATATGTTCCCTGCTGTTATGTTGGGCTGAAACCTGGAAGGAGTGGATATGGGCCGAGCTAATAATACCTAGCGTTACATGGCTTGGGCCCTATTTTAGCTGGGCCCTAGGCCATTCATACGGTCACCTTCATGGACAATTCGACTTCATTTTGAATGACACCAAATGTTCGTTCCATCCTGCAAAGTTTAGAAAGTTTTTCCAAAAAGGATATCAGAAAGGAGGAGACTTTCACAAATAAGAAGGAAAAAAAGGTGTAAGTATACGATTCTAACAACCTGACGAAACCATCTCTACCTGAACCATTTTCGCGCTGATCAACGGATCACCTGTGCTGCTGCTGAGCAGCTGCATGCATGGTCCAGCCAGCGCTCCAGGCATGCCGAGCTATGGGTCTCTCTCCTTCACATGCACATCCATGCCCACTCCGATGTCCGATCCATCTCTCTCTCTCTCTCCTCGCTCGCCGCCTCGCCCTACCTGGGGGCCATCTACTGCGTGCAGCTGCAGATTGTCAGAAGGATATGCTTCCATGAAGTAATCGGTAACTGAACTGATGTACTTACACTTACTGAGCTGTGCTCTGCTCTTAGTATGACTTTTCAATGTCTCTGTCCGGCCGGCCTCCTTTTTTTCTCCAGGCAAGGTGAAGATTCCTCGGTCCTAATCGCAAGGACAAGTACTGTATCTGTGCATCGTCATCCATGTTCCATGAACCTGAAGATCATAAACCTAACGTTAACTTAATTATCAAGGTTTTGGCCGGTTTAAGAGCTGAACATTTAAATGTGGTCAGATGGTGGATAGTAGTTCGATATATACAGCTCCTGTCCTGTCTGTGGCTGATGAGTGATAAGGTCACTTCACTTGTGTTGTTAGCGTATAGGCCTGTCTGTTTTTCTGAAGTGTTTGTTACTTCAGTTGGCAGTCACTCCAAACCAGAAAATGATAAAAAGAACGCAGACGATACCATTAAGTTACTTACTTGTATTACTAGGTGAAATTGCCGCATGTAGGGTGCGAACTGTGAACTGAACTGAAGGTGGCATGCCATGGCCATGGGCCATAGCAGCCTCTGAGCCTCATGCCTCCTCCAGGCTCCAAGCTCCAGGTGATGATGATTCTACAGTAGCGAGGACTGATGGCAGTTGCAGGCTTGCAGCAGAGGTTGTGTGCAGTGCAGATAATAGCCTCCTCCTCCTCCTCTCTCTCTCATCTGACCGTAGAGGAAAGAGAATTGTTGCACCAGCCGGCCAGCGAAGCGAAGGTCATCTGCAGGCTCAGGCTGTGTACGTATCGAGTGGCCGTTCATGCTAGGAGCAGGACGTTGGACCAGCACAGCAGGCCGAAACGCGCAGTGGGCCGTGGGCGCGTCACCAAGGCAGTGGCCGGTATCGGGAGGAATATTGCATTGCCCATACTCTGCAGCAGTTCGATCTGGACTCTGGAGCATGCAAACAAATCGCACTAATATATAGCTTTTCAGGAGATCTTTTGAGCTCCCCCTCCACTGTGCAGAGTGCAGTGCAGCTACAGCCTGCAGCCTGCAGTTTGTGTGTGAGACTCCGTACTGGTCACCTGATCATTGCTCTTGCAGCCTTGCGCCAGGCTCCAGCAGGTAACAGAACAAGGCACGCAAGTTCAGATTTCAGAAAAGCTGGCTGCAGCACCAACGGTTTAAAGTTGAGGGTGACACCGATTCTCTACAGTCTAGTGCAGTCTAGATGTAGAATTCAGCAGACATGAATCTCTGCATAATAATCCACTGGATAAAGTGCTAGTCTAGATAATAGATAAGAGTTCATGCATCAGTAGTTGGATCTCTGCAGACATGAACTCCAAGATGGCTGCCAACATTGAAAACGTTCAAGAGTCTGAAGTAGAATAAATTTCAACTATGTTTAGTTGGATAAGATAAGATAGATAAGATGTCCATCATGCATCATTTAGCAAGGATCTGTACTGTGTACTCTCCTATATAACTCCAAGATGGTGCCAGAGCATTGGAAAACGAACAAGAGTCTGGAGTAGATGATCCGTATCAGTAAGACTTTTCAGGGCAGGACATGAACAACTTCTGCAAAGGTGAATGATGATGCACATGCATGATGCATCTGGAGCCTGAAAACCCTGAAGCCAAGAGGCGGCAAGAGCACAAGAGATCTTACTTGGCCAATGGAGTATGCACACATCTCACTCTAGTCTAGGGGTCTCTAGCTAGTAGTACGTAGTTCTGCAGTTGACATGCACTCCAACAAGCAACTGGAGCTGGTCCCCTTGTTCTTGCAGCGAGAGTATTCTTTTTCTCTGTGTACCAGGACAGGAGCACCTGGATGTGAGGATGAGAAGTGGCCAGTCTTCCATCCAGGATGTGGACTGATGGGGAGCACCTGAATGTGGAAAGTTCCTGCTCAGTAGCACTCCAGTACTATATATGTGATAATTTGCAAGGTTCGTTCATTTTAAATTTTGCACAAATAACTTTTTTTTGAAATAGCAGGTAGTGTCATAAAAGTATATGTCTGGATCGGAGCAATGTCCAAAACGACTTGCTTTAGAGAACCAGAGGGAGTATGTGATAATTTGCAAGGTTCGTTCAGTCCTGCACCGCACTTTATGCAGGTTGTGGTGTCTGGATCGGAGCGCTGACCGCCGGGCGGATCGATTAGGCGGTTATTGGCTGCACTTTATGCAGGTTGTGGTGTCTGCACTTTATGCAGGGTGCCGCCGAGCACGCCACGCATGCATATATCGATCAAGGTGAAGGGCGCTGGGGCTAGCTGTGGCTTCATGATTCGGGGCGAGGCGGATCAGATAGAATCGTGGCGTACGTGATGTATGTATCCTGGCAGCTGCAATGCAGTGCATGCGACCTGCATGCATCGACTCCGATGATCCGATCATATATCCCCACCCCACGGTTTCACGATTCACAATTCACAACTTCTTCTGGCGACCTGCATTGCATAATCTCGATCGCTGCCTGCCTGTAGGGCCGGGTTTAGATATAACCTTCTACAGGTGGTACGTACGATCGACGTCGAGAAAATGCAACTGTTCTTGTCCATGCAAGGAGAACGAGAGTGGCGTTTCAGTTCTTGCTTGGTCAATTAATAATATAGTACTAACTGAAAATTAAAGTATTTGACGTAGGGGTGCATCAAGCAGCGGCAGGTAAGAGAGCGTCAAAACGTTTCTGGATGCAATCAAGCGGCTTAACTCAAATTTAGTCGTTACTGGAAATGTGATTATCGTTCAATTAACCAAGTGCTGCATGCACACACACCACCAAAGATCGGCGCAAAAAAAAAAAAAAAAAAAAAAAAAAAGAGCTCGGCAACAAGTAGTACGTACCAGTGGTGATAGAACATATCGACCATTAACATAAGTGAAGGTCAGAAACTTAAATAGTTGTGGAGCTGAGATCACCATATACGTGCAAATATGCATACTACACTAAGACCAAGGAAATATTGCAACAATTTGTCTCGTTATGTTAACACCGGCAGCGAAGGGAACTTAGAGAAGGGGAAGAATTAGGGAGCGAGCGAGGTCGGAGGATCGGTTGTATTAGAATCGAATTTGTTTGTTACAAGTTGGATACCTCGCTCTCCTCTCTTTCTCATTACAGATAAAATGAAACAGCAAAGTCAAATTAGCACATATATATGAAGGTAAAAGCCAAATAAAGCTTTATTTAACTGATGATGGATCAGACTGGCGAAGATATGCATGCATGCATACAGTTTGACAGATAGGTAGTAGTACCTCTCCTCACAGCGAGCAGAGGTACCAAGTCAACCCACGTACTACGGAGCGAGCATACACCTAAAAGAAGAGAAGACTGACTAGCAAGAACATCACCGGCAGCGGCAGACCATGCATATGTTTCCAGACCGTTACACAGAGACTGAAAAGGTCTAAACAACTAAACACAGCTGGTAGTAAACTAAAACACACGATAATCTAGGGGTAGGGCATGCAGCTGATGGCCGGTCAAACCCGCGGATCCGATAGGTGGTACGTACGTAACCGAAAGGCAATAGCGACGCCTAATAACAAGTAACAACAACAACGACTCTAAACAAGTCCGGCCGTGGTTGCATACTGGCCGGCGAGGTGGTGGCGGCGACTAGCTAGCTAGATAGGTTGATGGATGGGTCGATGGATCTAGAGGTTGTGCGCGGCGAAGAAGGCCTCGACGTCGTCGCCGGTGTAAAAGTCCCTGCGCTGCTGCTGCTGCGCGACCACGCCCGCGGGGGCCCTCCTCTTCCGGGGCGCGGCGGGGCAGTCCCTGGCCGCCTGCCCGTTGGCACCGTCAGGCGTCCTGCACCCGGCCACCGACGACGACGACGACGCGTCGACGGCCTGCTTCTTGCCGCCGTCCGCCTCGCCGCCGCCGCGCCACTGCTCCAGCGGGAGACCCATGCCGTGTGACCGCGCGCGCGCTCGTCGTAGGCGGCGTCTGTCTTCCTCACGGCCGGGCTACCTGCTGATCGTCGTCACTTGTGGAACTGAAACGTCAAGCCCGGGAAGAAACTGTCAATGTGAATAATAATAATAAAATACAGGGTCGGAGGAGACGGATGGATGGAGAGCACTGCTGGCTAGTGCTGGTGGATGGGGTGTGGGAGTGGAACGGCGAGCGGACGCGGGGTTTTATAGAGCTAGCTAGCCCTCAACCGTCCTAGTACGTGGGAGAGTGGTGGTGGTGGAAGTGCAGGGGAGAACGTGGCTGCAGCCTGCAGCGCTGACCCCCCGGGCGGCTCGGCCAGCTGGTGGGGCATGAGACGGTTATTAGGCTGGCTGCGCAGGGTGCCGGCCGATCGAGCACGCCACGCATGCATATATCGATCCAGGGCGGCTACCTGGCTGTGGGCTTCGTGGTTCGTTCGATCGGGGCGGATCAGATAGAATCAGGGCACCTACGGATGTATCCCTGGCGGCTGCAAGAGCGAGCCAGCTAGCTATCTTTGTCCGTCAAGCATCAGCGGCAGTCAAGAGCGCCAAAACGTTTCTGGATGCAATAATCAAGCGCCTTAACTCGAATTTAGTCGTTACTGCAATGTTATTAACGTTCAATTAATCCCATCAAGTGCTGCATGAGCGCGCACACACACACCAAAGAACGGCGCGGTCAGCGGTTGCTACTTGTGCAAAACAAAACTGAAAAAAAAAAAAAAAAAAAATGTTAGCGATTGCTCGTGAGCTCCTCGGCAACAAGTACTACGTACATACATACTTATAAATAACAAAGTTAACATGCACACACGACACACGTACGCATATTGAATTGTGTAATTCACTCTGGTCTTTGAAACATATTCGGATATTCCAATTTACATGCGTCGACGTCCACCACGTAAAAAAGCTATATATTCACCGCCTCACCACAAACGTGACCAGTAAAGCGCGTCTGCTATAGTACAACTATAGACGCGCGCACGGACGGAGCTATGTGGGGGCCAAATTGGGTCCTGGCCCCCCCTTCTTCTCTGGGCTGCACTTTACAGGTATCGCATGTATGTAATTAATTCCTGCATCTCTCGTACCATGCTTGCTATTATTGATTAGTGGATCACAGCTTACAAGTATGTAAATCCGTACATTGTTCATTCTTCTTCGATATAATTTCAATTGTTCATTGCAGTATATATAGATAGAACTTGAAAAAACAAAGATTTTCCACAGAATTCCAATTATCTGTACTACTATTGGTAAATACTGTAGCAGTGTACCTTTGAATTGGCCCCCCTACACATTCATGCAAGCTCCGTCGCTGGACGCACGTCTGTAGTAAGTCGTCGGCAGAGGTCGCCGGTCCGGCGAGGTCAACACGCGTATGTAATAAGCGTTTAACGCGTCTGAGCTAAATCTACAGATGCGTGTATATAAAACGCGTCTGTATCTGTAGCAGTTATTACAGACGCGTGTTGTGATTTCCAAGTCTCGGATAACGGGATCAAACTCTACGGACGCGCGTACGTAACACGCGTCTGTAGTAAGATCTCTTATTGCAGACATGCATGTTGTTGCAGACGTGTGTTTTGAGTAATCCTACTTGTAGCAGACGCGTCCTGCTCTATACGCGTCTCTACTTTGTGGCAGACGTGTGTTCCATACGCGTGTCTATAGTACTTGGCATGCGTACTTAGCCGTTGGCATGTGCTAACGGGCAGATGGAGGTACTTGGCGTACGGAACACAGCGGGCAGTGGCTCTTGCGCGGCTTTGAGGAGCGCGGGCGGAGTTGGCGGGTGGCGAGTGGCGGCCAGAGTTGCGCGCAGCGACCGACCGCAGAGGCGGGCGGCGGGACGACGCGAGCGCCGCGGGCAAAGCGGCGGAAGGAGGGGCCGAGAGGCGTGGCGCGGCGCGGCTGCTGTGCGGGAAGGCGGCGGAGGGGATCGCTACAGGCTGGCGGCCTTTAGGGACGCACCGCGTAGGCGGCCAGGCATAGGTGATCAAGTCTTAAGCTCGAGCTGCCGGCGCTCCTCTCTTTCCCTCTTCTCTGTCGGAGCACATCCGCGTCGCTCGATGGCAAAATTCGTCGCTGTTGTTCTATCTTCTCCCAATTTCCCGTGCTCCCAGCTCCGCATAGTTCTTGCAGTCCTCCTCGAACCGCTGTAGCCACCTCTCGCTGCCGCAATCGCCTTCAGCATCGGTTGTCGCTGCGGCCGTGCCACCAAGGCCTCCATGGGCAGCTCGCCGTGGCTAGCTCGCTCCGACGCTCCTCTGGTGATCTTGTTTATTGTGTTAGCTCTCCTGCAATTCCGTGATGCTCATCGGCTTCATTCTTTTACCTCTACCGCATAGGTCGCGGCGGAACGGCGATCTCACCACCAGTTTGCGCTGCCGTACGCGCCATCAACGCCGGCCATCTAGCTCCGCCTCGTCCCCGGTTCAACCAAGCAGCTCATCGACATCGCGGTGAGCTACTGATGCTGCCTGAGCCCTTAGACTAACCTATACCGTGTTGTATCTGCCGGAGCACCGCTGTTCTGTGTCCGCCGCACCACTATGGCTCGTTCCTCTCTGCAGTGTACTCGATCAGGTGTGCTCTGACCGTGCTTCGCCATCTCGAGCTGCAGGGGATCGCCGGCATGCTCAGTTCTCCTCCTTGCTCTTGTCTTTGGCCTACTGTTCTCTGGCGTGTGCTTCTCTGTGAACAGTGCTAAGCTTGTGTGAAATTGTGATGAAGTTGCTTGCGTGAAACTTGCAATGTAAACTAAGTCTACTAAAAAATGTGATTTTTATTACTAAAGCATTGATGAATTTGCTTATATTCTTCTATTTTCACTCCAGTCATTGACAAACCAGCAACAATATATATGCAATAATATATAGATAGATGCATTTCCAACCAAAGTATGTGACAGAGTTTGCATCACAGAGTTTTACTACTTCATCACAGTAATTACATCATCACCAAAAGTACGTCATCACAGAGTTTACATTCACATAGTTTCATCAACAAAAGTTAACATCATCATTAGTTGTTCGCCGATGGCGGAGGCATGGTGCCCTGCTACTTGCTTTGGAGGTCATGCACATTCTGAACCATGGACGTTAGTTGGTCACCAGGGTCGTCCAGGTTCTTCTTGAGACATTTCTCCTTCTCTTCGTTCTGATCCTTCTCTTTCTTGAGTTCGTCAATAGTCCGCTGAAGACCGCCTATGCTCTTCATGATGGGTTTCAGAACCACTGCCTGCAGGGCCTCGTGCATGTTACTTATAGGGAGCTGATAAGATCGAACCTATATGCACAGAAACAGTTATAGGAACATATATGAAAATCCAGCATAAATCTAGATACTTTGACAAAAAACCTACATATAAGTTTCATTTGCATTCATATAAGTTTTATTATCCAGCCATACATATCAGAATCATATAAGTTTCATATAATCAATTATAGGCTACAAAGTCCATGACCTTGTGAACACCAGAATCATAGCAAATTAGAAAAATAAAACATCTAGCTACTGCTAACAATGCACATAAAGACTTAGAGCTACCCCAAAGAGGTGAAACCCAATCTACTCAAATCACAATGCTGAAATATTGAAGTGGCACCATCAAAATTATTCACAAGATTAAAATCATTGATCTATGATAAACATCTAGATAAAGCAATCTACTCAAATCATAATGCTGCTGCAAAATATAATAAATGATAGTTTACATTGCTTGTATAAAAACTTGAGTTGCATCTGCATTTATTCTACACTAAGTTGTTTTCTCTACTCCATCTGGGTCTGGGATGAGAGAATAGCATGAGCCAAATTATTTTAGCAACAAACTCATTCAATTCAGAGGCTACAAACAAAACTATCCTAAGATTAAGAAAGAAAACCTACATATAAGCAATTGTAATCTAAGACTGTGCATTACCAAGCCATGGGTGGAGCTTGAACCACCGACTTTGCCGCCGTTGACGCCGCCATGGAGCCATAAACTGCACGACCTGGCTCCTCCCTCAAAGCAGCGGTCGCACATCTTGGTGGTCGCTGCCCTCGGCGCCAGGGCCGAGAAAGAAGGCGCCCGCTGCCGCCGCTTGCATGGCCTTCCTCTCCTTCCTCCTCGCCTCCACGGGTTCTCCTTCCTCCTCGCTATCCGAGTCCACCACGAGCACCACCACCGACTTCTTGACTGCTGCCCTCGACGCCACGACCGAGGAAGAGGGCTTGTCTTGCCTGGCCTTCTTCTTCTTCGCCGCCAGCTGCTTGTCCTTCCTAGTGATGATAGTGGCCTTCTTCTTCAACCTCGGTGGGGCGGCCGGACAGCCTTCTTCTTGAAGGTCGGCGTCTTCTTGAACCCCGGCGGGGGGCTCACCTCCTCCTTCACCGCTGCCGAGGATGAGGAACGGTGGGCGAACCTCCCCGCCTTCTCGTCCCTCAGGTTTGTGCCACCTCTCTGGCCTCGTCATCTTCGACGAAGCAGAGGCTGCGGGTATGGCTACGGTGGTGGGTTGGGGAGGCAAGAGGAGTGGAGGCGACTGCGTGCACGGCAGGGAAGGCGAGAGAGGAGTGGAGAGACAAGAGGCCGGAATGAATGCGAGTGAAGGAGTGGCAGTTCCAATGCTTTGAACTGCCACTCCTCTCTCTGTTGGCCCTTTGGATGCGGATGGCTGTGGCCGGTTCCTCAATTGGCTTACTACAGACGATTGTTAATAACGTGGGTCTAAAGTAGGACCCTGACAGGACGGCCCCACCGCCACCCTATTTTAATGTATTGGAAACCTTTTAAAAAAATAAACACCGCTCCCCGTTTAAACATATGAATGTAGCGCAATGGTTAACTCACGGGGTTGTGGGCTTGAAGGTCTCGGGATCGATCCCCGCAGGGGTACAAATTTTTTGCCTTTTATTTTACTACTACAGACGCATTTTTACAACACACGTGTGTAATAGGAAATCTTTTGTGGATGAAT